CAGAGAAAAAGATTCTGTAATAGCCAGGTTCATAGTACTGATTATGTGTGTTTGGTGACTGAAATCATCACGAACTGGGTAAGAGAAAAAAATGCTATTATTTTTCATGGGCCAAATTCAGGCTCAGCGTGATTTTGTGTGTGTGTGTGTGTGTTTGTGTGGTGAAGGTGGGCACACATAAATGCTACAGATCATTCACAGTAATATACTTATGGTAATAAGTTATTTGTCATCATAACAGGGCATGACTCACTACCATGGTGCTTTCAGGAGTGCACACTTCTCAGTCTGTCTTGCCCTCCATCATTTCCACTGTCTCCACCACTCTGGCACCCATGTCACTCCCCGGAGTGCAGCATCCTCTTCTGGGCACGGCCCTCCGGTTTGTATCTCACTTCATTATCTTTCCCTTTCTGAGGATCGGAAGTCCTTTTCCCATCACTTGCCTCAGCAGCCAACTGCAGTGCAAGGTCCAGTCCCTCATCTCAGAAGCAAACTGCAGTCTGGATTGGCCTCTCTTCTCATTGGCAAGTGTGATGTAAAATGGGAAGATCCAGGCCCGCTCACTATTCCAGATCCCGACCCAGTGACCCTATAGATGGCAGCTACCTACTGCCCCTCCTCTAACCGCTACTGCCGGTTTCCTTGGGCCACTTCCCCATAGTCCCCACACCTTTTTTGCCCCTGTATCAGGGCTTTGGTCTCTCTGAAAGACATTCAGGCTGGAGAGCCCACTCCCTCCCCTTCCCCTGCCCCTGCCCAGCACTGCTCCATCTGAGGCACTTCTCCCAGTGGCCAGTCTTTCTCCCTTGCAGTCCCTCGACTGTACGGAGCAGTCATGTTTATATGACCCTCTTTGGCCCTGATAGGCTGTTACAGCAAGCCTTCTTCCCATTGGCTGGTTGTACCATCCCTCTTCTCATTAGCTAAGGTCCTGTGCAGCCTCCCTAGGGGCTGCTTTACCCTTCTACTTGTGTGAGGAAGCCACCCCACCACAACCATATTAAAACATGACAGGGAATTAACTATTGTTTCCAAGAGTTACAACGTACAATTAGTTATTAAAGCTATCAGGGAATCATATTTATTTGGAATTCTGTCATCATGGCACAGATATGTCCAAGTAGCATCTATGGAATGTACTGTTATGAATATGTTTATTTTTCTTTTAGATATTGTCATTGGCTTCAGGAGCTCTTTAATTTATCTGCTAATAAATTATAAATTCTCTCAGGACGTTTTTGACTTTTTTTAATGGAGGATTTTAAAAAAACAAATCAGTTATCTACAAACCGATGAAGATTTTCCCTAGCTATTGCTTTTTCATTATCATTCACCAAACAGTTTGAACAGATTACAGACCTCAGAACTGATTTTTTTATGTTTACCTGCTACTCTGCATTTTTCCAATGGTGTCCCTAATCACCGTTTTTATGGCCCTGCTGCCTAAGATTTCTTGTGTAGAGAAATACCCTGGCAGCAGCTCCTATAGCATAGTGTACAAAGCTAGGATCTACCTATATACCAGTGATTCTTGGCTGTCAATCCTGCCTCAAGGGGCTTTGGACTGTCTGTGAAAGATAGACCTTTTGGCAGATCTACCTAATACAGGGGACCACATTATTTACTATGTGGTATCAATTCTATTCCCTGTGTGGATGACAATTGTAAAAACAAAACAAACAAACAAACAAAACCAACAACAACCCAGAATAATAAATGCTAGCGCATATTCTTTGTTTCATGAAAAACTTGCACATCTGCATATGAATTCCAGTGTTCATGTGAATAAAAGTGTCCGTGCTAATATCCGAGCAGTCAGAAAAAGTGTCTGGGAAGAAAAATGAACCAAAGGGTTCAAGAACATGTCTGAACCATACTGCGAGTGGACAAATGCATGGAAAGCGAGTACCTATTTCAATAACTGGTATTCAAGATGTGCTGTTCATGTCCACTCTACACAGGTGTCTGCTTGCCACATGGACTGGTGCTAGAAGATCTTCCCTTAGCAGTATCCATAGCGAACAGTATCCAGCCCCTTCTGGAGTGGTGTGCACCACGCTTTGCAGGTACTGCCAGACCCAGTTCTGTCTTGCCAGAATTTTCAACACTGAAGTAGTAGGACGGAGTGTTGAATAGACATGAGCAACAAACCTCGAAAAACACCAGGTATGCAAAGAGATAACTGTCCTTTCTTCTTTGAGTGCTTGCTCATGTCCATTCCTCCCAGCAGTGTCTCTTGTGGTAGGTAGGAGTTTAAGGATATAACCCAGCATCATCCCAAGCCTGCTGTGTGATGGCATAGTGAGTCATGAATGTATGAACCAAGGAGCATACCCCCGCCTTGCAGATGTTTTATGTTATTATGTCCTGGATTGGAATGTAAACCAGGAAGTCTGCCAAGGAAGCCTGCACTCTGGTCGAGTGCACTCTCTCCAGCAGTGGCAGCTGGATACCCGCTAACTCATAGTGCAACCAGATGCAAGAGGTTATCCAGTTTGAGGTCCTTTGGGTGGATACTGGGAGTCTCCTGATCGTCTCAGCATATGCAATGAAGAGCTGGGATGACCTACAAAAGGGCTTCATCCAATATAGGTAAAAGGTGAGTGCTCTCCTTACATCCATGGACACACCTTTCCTGGCGGGTCTTTAGGGCAGAAGACTGGGAGGAAATGGCTTAACCCATGTTGAGTGTTGGCTCAACCCATGGGGAGACCACGCTTGGAAAGAATTCTGGGTGGGGCCAGAGTTGCACCTTGTCCTTACAGAAGTTAAGGCATGAAGACTTGAAACTCTCCTGGCTGACGTGATCACTACCAGGAAGGCCACCTTCCAAGATAGGTGTGAAAGGGACCACAGGTTTGAAGGGCAGTCCTGTAAGCCTGTGACATCTCAGTGAGGGACGGGGCTTAAGCACACAGGAAAAACTTCTCAAGACCTTTCAAGAACCTGTCATGTCACGAGAGAATATGGACTGGCCTTGAATTGACAGATGGAAAGCTGAGATTGTTGGCTAGTAAATCTTGATTGAAGCATGTGCTAAATCTGATGCTTCAGGAGAAGGGGTTAATCCAAGATAGTTTGTATAGGGACCTCAGATGGGGAAACCCCTTTTTGTGTGGCCTACGTCAAGAACCTAGTTCACTTTGTCATGTATGTCTGTCTAGTCGTTGGCTTATGACTTTTCAGGAGGACTTGCTGCACTCCCTCACAGCAGGATTGCCCATCTGAATTCAACCATGCAGCAGCCACACTATGAGGTGAAGAGACATTAGGTCAGGGTGGAGCAGACAACCGTGATCCTGGGACATGGATCCTGGCTGGATCGGCAAAGGCCATGGTGGGAGTACCACAGGGCTCATCAGGGTGCTAAACCAATGATGGCAAGGGCCACACTGGTGCAATGAGAATGACCTGCTTGATCTTCAGTAGGACCTTGGTGATGAGAAGAAGTGGGGGAAAGGCATAAAACAGATAATAAAGATAAGAGGATGCAACAGGGAGAGCTGTAGCAGCACAGTTACTGGCAGCAAGAAGGAATTGAGGGTGGAGGGAGTCTGGCAGTGTCCTATATATGGTAGCATGTGCACACCACTCCAGAGGGAGCTAGAGCTGGTCCCCTATGGATATCGCTGAAAGGAAATCTTCTGGCACACATGCCAATGTTGAATGGACATGAACAAGCACTCAAATGATTTTTTTTCCATTGGGCTACTACTAATTAGTGTCATTCACAGATAAATACTACAAATTATTTTATCTGGCTTTATACATTTTGTAATGGTTGTAAATTTGAATGTGACAGGCTTGGATTAGATAAATATCTATCCTTTCCTATCATTATTAAATTTTCTAATTTACTCTACTGGCATACTATCAATTAAGGACTGTCATGTGACTATTGCACTGAGAAATCATTATCTTCATTGGATGTGAAACATAAAATTGCTACTGAATAAGTACTATCATATGACTTCTGGGCTATTCAAAAAGCTGGTTACAATTTTCAGATTATTTGAACACACTGTAAGAAAATAGATTTCCAGGAAGTAGTAGTAATGACCTTCGCCGGCCTCATTTTCAAAATTTATTAAAAAAAAAAAAGTGGGCTGTATAGGAGTGCAGTAGAGGGACCAAAGTAAAGAAAAGGCTGCAAATGAGTTTTTTCATTACTTTGAACCTAAAATTTACACTTTTACTGTCCCAAAGTTCCTTGTGGTACAACTAACTATAGAGGAAACGAGAAACCATAAAATACAATATAGAAAAATCAGATGGAATCAGTTTTCCTGATTTTTGATACTGATGTTACTTATTTTTCATGCATTGGCAAGGAGGAGAATTGGATGACCTTATGTATCTTTCTCATCTCCATTTCCTTGGACACTATTAATTCAATATACATTTTTTCAAAAAACAATTACAATTTGCTATTAATTCCTGAAGACAATGGTTTACCTTGAAATTTGGGGTGTCCAAATATCTCCTTCAGTTTGTTGGATGATGAAAGCCACCAGCTACTTGCTACACCAACGTTTTTCTACTTAAATATGGGAACTATTGAACGACATAAGGAATATTGCCAAGGTAACCATTGAGAACACTGGACGTGTTTTAGATTATCATCGTTTCATGATGGCATCCTGAAAGCTAAATTATGTACAGTAATCTGGGGAATATTCAGAAATTAAGGTGTAATTTCATAGTACCAATCAAGTATTCTTTAGTCAAAATTAGTCTGTGAAAATGTTTTAGTTATAAACTCCCGGTTTGGGCCTGAGGTAGATTAGACTCCCATCGACTTCAATAGGCTTTGAATGAAGAGTCTATATGCTATTTAAAGGGTAAATGTTTCTGGTTAATGAGTGGGTGAATTGGCAGGGTTGTGTTGTGCGGTACTTGTGTGTGTATACATTTCTCAGATAAGCAGGAAAAAGAAGATGCATAGGGTTCCCCCCCACAAACTTTTTTCTTGAGGATTCTAAGTGACAGACGATAAATAAACATGGAGCTGTTTATTTTCACTTTTGTAATAAAAAGATACATTATTTTCATTACTTGGCTGCCCAGAAAATACATTCAACATTCATTTATTTAAGAGAATTTCATTATATTATGGCATATGCTTTGGTCTGGTGCTCAGAAAAGTCTATAGCTAAACATACTTGTTTCATTACCAAGTTTATAAAGATAGCTCAGTGGTTTGAGCATTGGCCTACTAAACCCAGGCTTGTGAGTTCAATCCTCGTGCAAGTGATTTGGGGCAAAAATTTGCCAGGGATGGTACTTGGTCCTGCTGTGAAGGCAGGGGACTGGACTGGATGTCCTTTCCAGTTCTAGGAGATAGGCAATCTCCATTAATAATAGTAGCCTGAAGGTGTTTATTTAGAATTCCAATGTATTGATGACTATAGTTTGGTATGTAGGCAATCTGCTGTAAAAATAGGTTAGTTTCAATTAGAGGTATTTGGTTAAATTGGATCCAACATGCTTCATTTATAGTCAAATAGATAAAAATCATGAATGTTTTATTTGATATGTTCAAGGACTTACTTCCTCTTGCTATCTTTACTTCCTTTTGCAGTTCCTCTGGTAACTGCAGCCAAACAACTTTTAAAAATCTTTATGTCACAATTGATTTTTGGGTGCACGACTTAAATTAAATTAAAGGGGCCTGATTTTCAGAGGGTAGATATTTTGGCATTTTTTGAAACTCAGGCCTTTTCTGATATTGGGCACCCAAAAATTTGAGGCAAAATTACTCATTTTTTGAACTTTCTTCTAAGGGTACCATATATTCATCACAATGGTCTGTAGCTAGTTCATTTTGCCCATGTCCTTTATAGCACTGGCTATAGGAACAATAGTTAAGATTTGTCTGAATATAGAGAATGTTCACTTTTAAGCAAATGAGTTCTTTTACACTGTACTTATATATAAACACAGTTAAATCAGGTTCATTTATTTTGCTCCATCCTACATCTAGTCAACATAGCTTGGTAATTATCTTAATTCTTGGTAATTGTCTTAATTCAACTATAATCCAAATGTTAAAAAACAAAACACTATTGGGTTTTACAAACAGGCATATAATATAATAGTTTATGGTAATGATTTTATCTGGAGTGGCTTACTTGTTTCAGATTTCAAAAAGGTCTACTAAAACCAATATTCAGACACAAAGATGTGCACATTCACTATGTTACGATGAGACACAATCGTTCCTATCACATAGTTCATTTCCAGTTTCAGAATGGCATGGAAAGGTCCAACAATGGGCTTCACCTGACGAACTACACCTGTGACAAAAACCAAAAATAGATAATGAAGTATAGTGAATACAGTGATATCAAATGGTTTCAGATTAGCTGTAATCCTTCATTTCTAAAAGATTATATACCATTTTTCAGGATATAGTTTTCAGGATATTTTTTCAAAAATTCCATTAAAATATTTTTATAGAAATCAGTGCAGAATAGTCAACCAGGTTTTTAATACTTTTGATTAACAAGTACATTTATGGAATATTGGTCTGGTTTGAAAACATATAAAAAAGGGCTATATCTGCAATGATTATTCCCCTTTAATATTTTGATCAGCGCCTGCATTTACTAAAAGAGTAATAATGGAAGAAACACTGAACACTCTGCAGTTAGCACTATTTTCTTCCACTTTTTGCCCAAACTATGCTAACTATTTTTCTAAAAATAGAACATAAGACATTGATTTGTTTAAGGAAAGCAAAATTCAGATTATACCGGAGAATGTACAAAGAGGTGCATACATAGAACAGAACACAAAGAATGAATCTTCCACTCTGTTTCAGACAGGAGAGATGACAAGGAACATGGTACCTGATAATAAGCACTTCTCACATACACATCAACAACCACCACCAAACTGCGTATTATAGCAGGCCAAACTAATATAGAAAATCTCATGGAAAGCATTGGAATGGATGGCTGAAAGGAGTTAAATATGTAAGGTGAATAAGGAATATGGCTATTAGAATATGGCTCAGTGGTATTTGAAACATGTTGCTTAGTTTCTAGAACTAATCTGTATTGTTATTACATACCACATTTTAAATCTATCTCTTTTACATTACCTCATCTGTGTTGGGCAATATGATGAACATATAAAATGATAGTGGGTAGGCCCCAGCAGCCAAACAGAATAGCTGCAGAAACTTTGTGCTAAGCCCTTGATCTTACACCCTTAAAGCCAGTGGGAGCTTTGCCCTAAGTCGTTATTACATAGGGTTTGCTCCCATTAACTACATTATTCTCCGTATTAAACACATCATGCAGCTACTGTATTATTAGTACTTGGTCAAAGACATAAATTCAAAGCTAGCTGATCAGCATCAGGAATTTGGTATAGAATCCCCCTTTCAAATACTTGATTATGACAGCTGACATGTTACAGTGGCATTTGATTTGGTAGGAAATATATAGTTTGAGTGGATTATTTTAGATGTATTCCTTTTAGATCTTAGGGGTTATGTTTCAAAGCACAGAGCACAACAGTCTTTATGGAATTCCTAAAGAATTCTTATAGCAGTTCCCTAAGAACACATTGGCTTAAGATCTGATGGTAGAGATAAACGTTTGCTTATGTAGGCTGTCAGCACCTTTTTTCTAGAGCAGCGATGACATTACAGCTCTGTCCTGTTTAAATACTGACTAATATCTTCAGCATGTAGTAAAATAGCAAACTTTTCACCACATTCATTTTGCTTGCCATATTTAATGAATGCACTTCTTTTAAAGCATCCTTTTCCCCTACATTTTTTTAAAAAGTTTTCTTGGCCAGCATCCTGCAACTTGTAAAACTGACTTGTGGTGGCAAGGGCTGTGTAGAAAAAAAAATATCTCTGGAATTCATCTTCCTGTATGGTACAAAGTGTTTTAATAGTGCTACATGACATTGGTGTGGAAATCATCTTCCATCTCAATCATGTGAATGTGCAGTTTTGAAAGCCAATCGCAATCATCTAATATTTAACCCACTTAATTTCTTTTTTTTGATTAGTAACTTTCAGGTGGTAAAGGCTGGGGTTCCTATTTAGTAATCCTTTAATAATTTTAGACTCACCTCTCTAATTAATCCACTAACTCTAAAAGTTAGATTGCACATTGAGACCAATGTAGTCATGCAATTATGTCGAAGATGGTTGATGCTACAGTATAGAACTTCTGAGCATTATTGCAATTGCAGCGAAATGACACTGCCATTGTCTCTTCAGATTCATTCAAATATGTTCTTAATAAAAGACAGAAGAAATTTAAGTTTGCTTTTAGAAGCAGCTCATAGGGCAGAAATAACAAATGTATAGCGTACAGAATGGCAGTTCCTGTATAATTATTTTGCTGCTACTTTTAAATCATGCCTAATAGGGGACTCAGCACTGAATACGGCATATATGAAACAGTTATGTACAGAAAATTGAAGTGTGATGTTTTTGTTAAAAGTGGCTATGGTAAAATTATGGGGAATGTGTTATACCATATATTCTTTCAATATTTTTTTATTTGTATCTATTTTAGATTTGGATACATAATAAAAAGGGTTGCCCTTGCAATAAATTACAAAACAGAAATAAAATTAAACAGACAGCAGACACAAAACTCCTCCATTAAATGTTGAGGATCTGCTTGAACATACTTTCTTACAGGTGATATAGGTGAAGCTCTCTAAATCTGATTTCTGGATAGGCTTTCCTGCTGCCCTGCATTAGAATTTTATGATGCGTGAAAAAAATTAACTGTAAAATGATATATTGGACAAACACATGCAATAGGAACACCTACTGTACAATAATCAGTAACATTTGCTCTTCAACAGTTTCTATTTCGGCCTTTTGATAAGAAGGGATACATGGAACAACTGATCCTTTTCCTCCAACAAGCACAGATGAAAACCATGCAGCAAAGCTGCTGAAAAGCCTGTAATGTGGCCTTAAAGGCCCAAAGGCTATTCAGTTATCTGGATTCCAGTAAAATCAACAACAGTTGTCCTGGAAGCTCTTTTGAGAAATCACTGCAGATCATGAGCCATAATTTGCCATCAGTTTATAAGAAGGCTCTGTGTCCTGGGGCAAGTCTTTATGGGGGTGGGGTGAAGCTGTAGTAACCCCAAGGTTACATCACTCTGTGGTTGTCCCCAGCCACAAGGCAAGGTGGCCGTGTGTCCAGAGTTAGTAGGGCAACCCTGGGCTGCAGGGAAGTGTGGCCTAGCAGTCAGAAGCACTATATAGCAGCCTCTAGGTAAAAGACAGTGAAGCCCAATGACCAGGGTCAATATATAGCAGCTCTTAGATGTAAGGCAGAGTGGCCCAGTGGCCAGTACTCCAGAGAAGGAGAGGGCCAGACCCAGGGCCCTAACAGTGGCAGAATGGTTCCCCACCGAGTTAGTGGGGAATCCCACTGAAATATGCTAATCTCACTCGGGTGAGAGACGCAACTCGCTTATCCTCCCTGGGTCACTTCCTTCCATGTTTCTTGCTCTTGTGGGGTCTCCAGAGTCTTGGAGCAACTTGGGGGTCAGCTCTAATCTTCCTAGAGTATCTGAAGGTGCTTGGGTGCTTGTCTGGGCTTGGGAATTTATGGCTTCTGTGGTTCTGGTTCCAGGCCGTTCCACAATATGAGTTGTCGCAGCATGTTCTTCCTCCTCAGCAATCCCTCCTGACTGAACTGGGCTGCTCCCTTTTGTACTGTGGTGGCAGCTAGAGCTTGCCCAGCAATGTCTGCGGACGTGGCTTCGGCAGCCAAGAGTGCTGCCTTAATCCCTTTTCCTCCAGGGTGGGGTCAGTTTGCCCCATCACACACCCTCCCCCTCAAGAGGGCACCATTCGATGTTCTTCCTCAGCCTCTCTAACCTACTTTGAAAAGAAGTAGGCATTAGTGGGTGCCTTACCCAGTCGATGGAAGACTCAGAAACCCAGCTATAGGGGGAAGGCATGATTCAGGCTTTGATGTCTTTTGTGCTGCTAAAGTGTGTGATCTACTCATTTGTTGAAAGGTGCTCCCTAGCAAGTAATAGCACAGGGTCTCCACTGCCAGTTTCACAGACAGTGCCTCTTTCCCAATGGTCAAATATCGAGTCCCACTGGAGAATAGTTTCCTGCTCAGGTTTACGACTGGGTGTTCCCGATTGGTTTCTTTTGGAAGGAGAGTCCCAATGCAGTCTCTAATGCATCTCTCTATATGATGAAAGGCCTCAAAAAAAATCAGAGTGGGCTACAATGCTCATCAGCTTCCTGTTCCTTCAGTGTCTGGAAGGCCTCCTGACATCTCCTGGACCACCCGACCTCCTGCGGTTGCAAATTCTTGGTCAGTTCCAAGAGAGGGCAGCTAGCATTGCAAAATCTGGTATGAAGTGGCAGTAGTACCCTTCCAGTCCTAGGAATTGTCTCATTTGCCTCTTTGTTGTGGGGGCAGGCCAGTATCTTTTAAGGCTTATACCTTAACTACCAGGAACCTCAACTTCCCCCAACCCACTGTGCACCCCAGGTATGTCACCTCCCATTGGCCAAGGTGACATCTGGCTGGGTTCACCATGAGTTCGGCCTCTTTAGGGCTCTCAGAACATTGGTGATGTGCCAGATGTGGTCATTCCAGATGGTGCACTAGATCACAAATGTCTGCACAGCACCTACAAATGTCTACACAGCACCCTCAACTCGAAATAAGATATTCAATTTGTGCTACACAAATTGCTTATCTTATCTCAAATGTATTTCAAAATAACACGCTATTTCGAGCCATTCCTTATGCCTCGTGTGACGAGGTTTTACTGGGATGGCAAAATAGCGCAGCCATTATTTTTTAAAATATTTTGAAATAAGAGGCAGCTTGTGTAGACGCAGGGTAGCTATTTCGGGATACCCTATCATAGTTGATCCTCCAAGGTCTTTCCCTTTCTGTGGTCATTTTAAGTGGGAAAAGTGCTATGGAATCTGAATTACCTCCATGCCCCCACAATGACTGTCGTGCTTTGCACCCACTTTACACATATGTAGATGACTACACAGGGGGCAGTGTTTGAGAACCAGGCCCTATGTATTTAATATGTACATGTAGCTATTAGTATCAACAGGACCATCCATAGAGGGGTATGAGCCCAGAGAGAATCCCCTATCTGCCTTAAGCCTCAACCCTGCCCTACCTCTGCTCTATCCCCACCCCAACCCCACTCTGCCCTTTCCTCCAAGTCCCCACCCCGTTACGCTCTATTCCAGCCCTTTCCCAAAGTCCCTGATCCTTCCTCTCCTGAGCAATGCTGGTGGGGGAGGGGG